ATCGCTAACCAATATACTGATAATTCAATTCGAATATATGACTATAATTAATTAAGCATATTATATATTGAATCAAATGATGATTCAAAATTGCGAGCGGGCGACGAAGTCGCCCGCCATATGTAGCATTGCTAGTTCCTGTTACGAAAAGGGAACTGAAGCCGAAAGCTATGAGTGCAAAGCCTACGCTTATTACCAAAGATCAACAAAAATAGACTATGTTGATTAAATGATCGAATGTGGATACAAGGACAGAATTAAAGGTGAAAAGAAAGTGGTAACGAAATATCGAAAATCCGTTGAAATAGATCGTGCTGATGAAATCGAAGCTGAAAAAGAAGAAATAGATGAGTTGATAATTGAGGAACTCAATCAAACTAAGTCCAAAGAGCCGCATCAACAAAAAGAAATAGCTGATAAAAATGGATTTCGAAAGTTTGCCGAAACGAACATTACTATTAGGGCAGAGTCGAATAAATCTGGATCAGAAGCAAAAGACATTCTCAAAGAAAGCACTAAACTGAATGATAAACCCGACCATAGAAACATAGCTTCGAACGTAGTCATTAGTTACCCAAATGAATCGGAAAATGCTAATCATGATTATGACGACGAGATTTGGTACCCTTGCAACAACGAAATTCCCAAAGATTGGCTGGGTGTGAAAATGCCGAAAAGAAGATTCTGACGAATTACAAAAAATCTGCCGAAATGGATAGTACCTATAGGATTGAAACTGAAAAAGACAATCATAAGGCATTCACTAATCGACGGAAACGAAAGAAAATCAAAAATATAGCAAAGCCCAGGATCACTTCATTCAGCTTCAGCATTAGTTTAATATGGATTCTATTTATATTAACAACCAACGTTGATATGAATTTACGGGAAGAAAGATTACTGAGCTTGCTCAAGCCCAATATAGTAACCAATAGCGTTTTAGAGGATGAATATAAGGCATTCAATTACGATCAAAAATTCACTGAGATGGAAAATGCTAGCGCGATATATGGCTTTAACCATTTATATAGAAATGGAGTTGAGAAGAATGATTTTATGACTTCTCGTCAAAAATTTGCCGATATGGGATACTCTCATGGAATGTTTGAGGCTGGTCATAGAGATAAAAGATATCAAGTTGGATATTACTATGGAATTGGAATCGAAAAAGATGGGGAAAAAGCATTAACGCATTATCAAAAATCGACGGAAATGAATAATTCTAACGGAATCTATCAAGCTGGATATTGTTATAACTTCGGAATTGGCGTCAAAATCGATAAGCATAAATCTTTTACATATTATGTTAAGTCTGCTGAGGCCGGAAATTCTATGGAACTTCGGAAAACTGTCACATGTTACTATTATGGAATTGGTGTGGAAAAGAATAAAGATAACACGCAATCAGCATGGTGTCTAACATGCGACCCCGACATAACAACAAGGTGGACAAGTGGAAATTTTTTGCAAATGGATAATTTGAATGAGACATCTATCACAGATCTTGGACTTTCTGTGGCGGAAGGAAAAATTTGTGGAGTTCTGCCGTATGTAGCATCAGAAATTTTAATGGGTCAGTTGTATACTCAAGCATCAGATATTTACGGTCTTGGAGTTATTGCGACAAAGATTTCGACTGGACAAGAGCACTTGATGGAATTCCATTTGACGATTATTTTGTATCAAAGATTAACAGTGGATTGCGACCTAAATGTCGAGGACCAGATTGTTATACTAAATTAACTATGAAATGTATGGACAAGGAAATTAATAAACGACCTACTAGATTACGATGTGTATCGAAGAAATAGAAAACTTTGTAAAAAAAATAAAAAATAAAAAATTGAACATTTCCCGAAAGCTAAAGTTGAATAAGCAGTTGATTACCATATCTGAAATTAGCCGCAAAGTGCAACCATGTGATATTCAAAAAAGAACGATATTGTTAGGATTAAAGTTAAAAGGAACAGACTCGAAGCTAATAATTAAAGCCTAGACAAATAAGATCAAAAAGAAATCGAATGAGTATTAAACTCATAGCTGAGATTTATCGGAATTATAATCATATGATGCGACGAACAGATTGAAGAACAAGACACGAAGAGTAATTGGTGAAAAACCCGTTATACGGTAGAATGAGGATATCAACCCAGATTGAAGTTAAGAAAAAAGAAAATTTGAAACAAGAAAATGGACATGACGAAATTAGATATGGTAGGTCATGACAGTCATGTGCGGGAGTGGGGTGCATGACCACGAAATACCAGAAAGCATAATCGAAGAAGATTCGAAGAGAATTCAAAGAGAAGAAAAGACAGGACAAAAACAAGGAAGAAACGTCCACATTATCTACTGGACGAAGACTCAAGAGAAGAGTCAGAAGAAAATCCACGAACTTACCCATATGGTGTTGGGTATTGTTATCAAAATGGAATTGGTATTGAAAAAAATTTGCCTCTAAAGCAAGAGAAAATGAAGAAGATGTTTACGATTTAGTTGGAGAAGAATTGTATAAAAATTATTGTATAAAACATATTTTAGAAAATTCTCTTATACATAAACAATTTAATTATATACTTAATTTAGATCATAAAAATTTTATTAAATATATGATAGGACAACAACAATGGAGAGATTTAATATGTAAATTTAAGCTTAAAAGAATAGTTGATTGTTATGCTCATTATGCTTTAGAATTGAAGATACCATTCGCAATGAAACTAATTACTAAATATTATCCTGATTATGTGTATGAACGACCTCTAAATTTATAGAGGATTATGATAAATCCTGGTTAATATATTACCGAGATTTAAGTAGAACATATATAACCAAGGAAATGAATGACAATTTTAATAAGTCTGTTGGACTTGAAATTGATTCTGTTGATAAATCAGAAGATGGACTTTTTTCATCTAATTGTGCTAGAACTTTTCTAGGTATGGAAGATCGTGATTTCGAATGGTATAATCCTTATATGACATATAGAACTTTTCTATTTTTCTATGATAAAATGGTTCGCAAGCGTATGAAATTAAAACAACCTTTGAATTATTTTAATATATAAAGAAAAACCCATATGATGACAATTTAACTTTTTGGCATGTAGAGGAAAATGATTGTAAATTTAATTACGTACATAATGATCTAGATTATGATGACTTATTAGCGTATAGTACATTCTTTATCACAGGTACGCAGGGAGATGTTGGTGCAGTACAAGAGTATATAAAAGAATTAGAAGATTTAGGTGAACAATTCACTATTGTATCACACCCGGACCTCGATTTATCAGCTTATGAAGCTAATATTGCACGCACAACTGTGAAGTCAAAAGATTTTATTCAAAGTTATTTGTCAAAAAATTATAACGATGCGGCATCACATTTTATCCAACATAATGTCGAAATTATTGAATATGTTTTCAAATTTAATCCATCTGTAGTACATATAACATATTCAGCACTTGGCCGTTGTATTGCTAATCTATCAAAGTAATACAACATAATACTATCCTCTGTGGTGACCGTATTGGTAATATGAATGAAATAACTCATAAACAAAATAAGAATGTGATTGATCAATCTATTTTAAAAGCAGCTTATTGGTTTATTCATGATTTAGTATGTGAACGGTTTAAGAAAACAAACTTGAAGAGATTTAAACATAATTATAATCCTCCAAATTTTATCCAATTGTATCATAATTTACCTGGCATACTGAATTATTTCTCGATAGTTGGTTATTACTATCCAAAAAGATCACTTAATATACCATTACATAAACCAATAGTGCGTCGTAAATTAAATACTTTCAAAAATAGTATTACAAAGTTGTGTAAAACAAATAATGCTCAAATTTTAATAAATAATTATTTTAGTCATATTAATATGGAAATTAATGAAGTGATTGATCAAACATACGTATGAAGATAAATATGAATTTTTAAATTATGTTATTGACTTACTCATATATGCTCAGACTTATCCCAGTAATGATCATTATAACATATCTGTGGTATATGCTAATCTTTGCATATATGAATTAGGTTTTACTAATCGTGAATATTTAATTAAATTGAATTTTATTATACTAGAACGGACTTTACTGTTTATTAAAAAGTTAAGTAAAAATAAGAAAAAGGAAATATATTTATATATAGGTAGTATGATAATTGATTTGCATATTATAGAATTGATCAAATATTATGATAATTTTGACGATATATTTTACATACAAGATAACTATTAAAATATACAAAGAATGGTCTATCTTTATTTTTGGACTTTGAGAATTATAATAATTATGACCTTGACGTTTTAATCCATTATGGTGGAGTTAACATAACTCAATATTGTATTGAGCATAATATCCAACATAATATAATACCATATGCTTTTGATCAATTTTTATGGAAACAAGTTCAAAATGTCATTGTTACAAAAAACTTTAAGAAACAATTCAATATAAATAAAATGTTTGATATTGCTAATTCAACAGAATTAGAGAATCGAAGCAAATTATCACTAGGTTGGTATAACCTTAAAATAGATATTTTAAAACAAGAAATTATAAATGTTAAAGATAACCATCCTTATGATATGGAAATGTTAAATGAATATTTGAGACTAAAATTAGAACTAGAAAACAAGATTAACAGCACTACTAGTAGTGTATATATAACAACTATATCAGGTTCTGACTACTAAAATCTGTATAATATTATTCGTTTTAGTTTTGAAAAATGTTTTCATAATGTTATTATAATAACAAATGAAGAAACTATTCTTCCTAATGTTAATAAAACATATCTAACTGGGTTAGATATATCTTATCTTCATAATATGTTTAAATATAAATCATGATTTTGCTTATAGCAATTGTCGTGCACTTTGTGATGATTTTTGGAATTCTAATATTTTAGAGACTCCTACTTAAACATACAACACATATAATTTAGACCCTGTTTCTTTATCATTTGTGTATGTAAAACCATCTTTAATAGATATAAACAAATGAACAAAATCTGAATACATTGAACAGTTAATAATTTTTAACAATCATTATCATAATACTTAAGGTGCGGATGAAATGTTTTTATACCTTTATTTTGATCCAATAACTCATATTCATCCTACTTCTGATAAATAGTATTACTATTTAGAAACTTATTTACCATCGAGTAATTATTTGTATAATAACCGAATTATATCTAATAAAAAATATCGAAATTATGTACCACTAATTTGGGTACTAGAACCTCTTAAATTTAAATATAAAATAGTTAAATATAGTTTATCTAAATCATTAGATAAAATTGATGAATCAAATGGTATCAAACAGTTATATACTTTATATGACAAAAATATTGAATACCCACAAATCCAACAATTATCTTTAGTGATTAAGACTCAGATACCGTTACCATTTGAAACTGTATTCTTACATTCTTATACATATCAATATTTAACATGTAAAATTGAAAAATATACACATAAAAATCCAATATTGAATAAATTATCACATTCTTTATTAAATAAAAGCATAGTTTCTATTAAAAATAAAAAGAAATTAAAATTATATCAAGAAGTATTACAACATTTTTCATCTCTTCCTTGCCATGTTTTAATAATTCCAGAACATGAGGTCATTAAAATAAAGCTGCTAATAAAAATCTCCAACAACTAATAGATATAAATTTTAAAATGATAGAAAGGATAGCATGCTCTGAATTGTCTTATCCTACAAATTGGAGTTTTGCTAAAGATGTTATATTGTCTACTCACACAATTAAATACCCAAAATTAGTTGTTTTATTAACAGATATACTTAGATCTGTCACCACTAATTTAAACTATCATCCTCTAAAAGAACCACTAATAGAACTTGAACCTGAAGTTATAAAATTAGATTCAAAAAAAACTAGTGATTTTAAAGGCTATTATGTCTATTTTAGGCATATTAAAAATGAATATCTTACAGATGTAGCTAAATATATTATGTTTTCTCATACTGTTATACAAGTTCAAGAACAATACTATAAGTTAGTTCCTAAAAAAGATAAATGGATTGTGTTCAGGCATTGGACATTGCTATTAGAAGGTTTTAGCAGTTGCATACATATAGAGCCAAGTAAAATCAAATAGCATACTACATTGAAAATGTTAAGACAACTATTTGATGATATTCCTTATAAACCATTGGGTATTAATTGTGTTATTTTTGCTCAATTTATAGCATATTACATGACAGGGAAGATATTACCATATAAATATATTTCTGGGTATAATCTAATGCTAATGCCTAAAGAAAGAAGTCTTAAAACTTACTTAGATTTTTATTTTAAACCAGAGTATAGTACTATAAATCAAGATTCTATTCAAGTAGAAGAATTAATAAAACAAATCAATTTATTGTACCAATCAGTTTCTTTCACTATACCAACTTTGAAAACAACAAAAAAATATACTTCGAATATTTATGACCTTTTTACAGACTACAATTTTATTTTTAACGCTCAAAAAGAACCAATTAACCAATTAAGAAACCAACGAAAAATAGTTTGGTTTGCTTTGATTAATCTGGTTAAACACCAGTTTGCTCTTATAACAGGTAAAACTATTTACAAATTAATAGATAGAAAACTCAATATCCCGGATGATAAAGAGTTGATTTTAGATCTTAATCAAATAGAAGAATTTTATTCTAAACATTTTAATATTCCAGTTGATCTGGGCATTAAAAAAATTAAAAATGAATTATATAAAATAGGTATAACATTACCTGTAAGAAAGTTTGAGAAAGAGATAGATCTGATAACTGCAGATATGTTAAAGAAACTGCAAGTTAAATATCCTCATCCTGAAGGTATATTTACTCGTTGACTTGGAACTATCCAAATGGTTAACAAATCTAATGAAAGGTACTTTACCAATTTAAATATATCAGATATAGAGAAAAATAAAGAAAAAAAAATTTGTGAGGCTGTATTTAATCAACTTTATCATCTTTTAGGAGAAAGTAAATTTATGAGTCCTGAAGAAGTTTTATCAAAATAGCACCTCAATTATAGCATTGGATTTTCTTTCCATTTTAATAAAAGTGAAATATGAGTAGACATAAGTTTATTCATCAATTAGGTGGTAGGAAAGTCTTTTTACAATGCATTTATAATTATTTAGAAGGGAAAAAAGTGATACCTTTAGTGTTACATGTATTTATAAAAGATGAAGTATTA